TTCAATATGAATCTGCAGCAGCAAAACACATTCACATCACCTAACACTTTCTTTAGTTTAAACAACTCATAGGATCACTCTTTAGGCTTTTGTACAACTCTGTTGTACAATTATAAGTCCTAACGTTTTAGGATTCCGAGGTTACCGTACGGTACGGTGTAAATCCTTCTGTATTTTAGGCTATTTGCACAGTCCGACGTTGTGCAAACATAAGTCCTAAATCTTAAATAATTTGCAGGATTGAAATATCAAATAAACATCATTTCAAAGACATAAAGCCGAACAATAGGATAGTTGAGACATCTCTAGAGTTTCTCCTGGATCTATGATGTCCCCTACTTTTCTTCCCTTTGAATTCCTTAAATAATTGTTCCTATTTTGAGCCATTCCTATTTGATTTTCCCATGTCCAATCGTGAAAACCTAAACTTTGAAATCTTGAAAGCAAAACCACCTGATCTTAATCGAGAGTTATCTTAAGTGATTTCGATCATTTAAAATGTAATTAACTATAGGGGGCTTGCCTCTATAGGGAACCAAGAACCCAGATAAAATAAACCCTATCTAATTTTTATGTTAGATAGGGGAACTTGTTGGCCTTTTTATAAAATATTTCGCAGATCAAAACGGATGTCACAAATTGTTTAGTCTAGATGATTAAATCCCTATTACAAGTAATATATTTATTCTTCTGGATAAGTGTGTTGCTTGTAGTATTGTATTAAATCATCTAAACTATTTGAAAATGTGAGACTCGTTTGGTCTCACTTATTTTAAAAATTAAAAAACGTTACTTCTTTAAAAAAGTTATATTTATATTTAAATTATTTTCAAAATCCCAAAATCATCACCTTTTCAAACTACGAAAGTGAAGTTGAACAATAAAACGGCCGACAGTATCCCAACATGCTTATCTCTTTGAGCAAGTCTAGCACATACTTTCTTTGGGTTAGAACAATCATCTCTGTTCCACGAGTCACCTCAATTCTGAGAAAGTTTCTAAGTTGTTCCAAATCCTTTACCTTAAACTCTTTGCCCTAACTTGCCTTCAACTGAGCAATCTCTCCCTCATCATTTTTAGTAACAATCACTTCATCCACATATACAACAAGAATAGTAATGTGACCACCATGTCGTCGCAAAAAGACAGTGTGGTTGACATTGATAAGCTGATAGCTCATGTCTATCAATGCTTTCTTGAACCTGTCCATACAATTAATTTCTCAATCTAGATACCTTGCTCACTGTTTGATTCGTGTCGAAGCCTAGGGGTATCTCCATGTACACCTATAGCAGATCCCCACATCCAGTTGGTGCCAGCTCCATCCATCATTCACAAGTAGAGAGACGAGTGTCCTGACTGTGCTCGTCTTTGTCACTTTACTTTGTAGTGATCTATCTTTTTTTCTGAGGTCTGCTTTAATTTGAAGACCCATTTGTACCTGATTGTCTTTTTCCCTACTAGTAGCAACACGAGCTCCCATGTCCTGTTTTTATTGAGAATACCAGGTTCCTCCTGCATTGCTGCTTCCACTTTGGATTTTCCTTAGCTACGTGCCAACACTTGGGTATAAAGACATTTTCCAAAGATGTAATGAATGCTCCATATATAGGTGATATGTTAGAGTATGAGACAAACTGAGTAATATCATGTGAAAAACCAAAACGATCAGGAGGATGACTCACATGGCTGCGTGAGATTCTCTTTTTCCACTTTCGAGCTCATTTTCCTCATTTTTCAACTCTTCCTCAGTCAATTCTTCCTACACGATGAGACAGCATCGTTCCCATCTGTACCAATCTCTCACCATCACCGCTCTCCCTCTCTTGCTTCATACCTCCATCATCTGACGAGTTACCAAAGGGTGAAGTCACCTCCAAAGTGCAGTATGGCTTAAATTCTCTAAAAGTCACATTCATACTCAAAAATGATTTTTTTTTATTGGATTTCAACAAATATCTCTTCTGAGTGGCAGAATAATCCAGAAAATACATTTCACAGCTCTAGATCCAACTTCTCTGTTGATGGTCTTTTATTTTTCACAAAACATAAATAACAAAATACCTTTAATGAGAGGATCCCGCCATTATCTCCTTTCAACTATTCATTAGGAGATTTCCACTCCAGCACAGTTGAGGGCATTTTGTTGATTAATTGAGGGTCTGTCAAAGCAGCTTGGCCCCACAAATGCTTTTGGATATTCATCAAGATCATCATGCTTCTAGGCATTCGGTTTTGTGCAGGTTTGTAAGTACTCCCCAAAATAAAACAACACATTTTAGTTAGAATATAATACCATTAATGGATAAAAGGTTCACTAGGAGAAGGGGCATGCAAAACATTGGACATAGTTATAGAATTAGTACAACTCATTGTACCCTTACCAACAACATGCTGTGTTATATTATCAGCGGTTTGAATGCTCTCTAAAACTACTAAGTGAGTATAGGACCTATCATATGTCGAAATGCACTAGAATCTACTATTTATTCTGGTGATCTCGTGATGGATATAAAAACAAGAACATGTGTATCACGAGTATCTTTAGTTGAGTGAGCATAAGTAGCAGTATTCCCCTTGGATGATGATAAGGAGGACGCATCCTCAGTTACATCAGCTGCTGCTTTCTACTTTCTCTTCAACATTTCTAAGAGCTCATGGTCCTCATTGGTAAAAACCACTCTTGTCTCTTCATTCGTGTTTTGCGACCATCAGTTTCGCCCGATGGCTCACTCTTCACCCCTTTGACCCCCACTATTACGACCACAACCTCTAGATTGTCCATGTTCACCCGTCTCTCTTTTATTTAGTGGCTTTGGACAAGCCTTGCTCAAGTGTTCCATTTCTTCACAATTATAACACCTGTGGGTCTTCCTCTGGACACCTGTCATACTTGAGCTCGAGGCAACCAAAGTTGATCGTGTACCTGGAAGTCCACTCTGCCTAGAGTGTAGCCTCATGCAACTCTGTTCCTGCAATATCGTGACGATGGCCTCATCTAGTGAAGGAATCGTTGTCTGGGCTAGGAGGACGGATCTCGTATGATCAATGGCTGGGTTTAGATGAGTCAAAAACTACATAGTCCTCATCTGTGAAAATATCTGCCCTCTCTTGTACCCCTGATCGTAATAATTTGACTAGGTGAGAAGTGATCAAGAGCTTGCCACAACAGCTCTAGCTCTACGGAGTACTTCTGAATCGATTTATCACCCTGTACCACTGCGCCTATGTCACGTTGATTCTGGAACCTCAGTTCCAGCATAGGTCCTCTTCAGCTTTGCCTAGATGTCATTCACCTTTCAAATGCCTTCCACTAATGTGACAATCAATGCAATCATCGAATAGAGTAGCTAGGTGTAAATCAGTGCATGTGTGGTCCTCCACTCATCACCCTCAGCATTGTCACTCTTTGGCTCGACCCTCATCAGGTATTCTTCTAGTCTCTTTCCTACTAGAACAACCTCAATCCGACATGACCAACTCAAATAAGTGTGGCCGACCCATCGAGCTTTAGATCCACAAAAGGAAGATCTAGTTTTACCTGCGTTGGAGCACGTGTTGAGGTAGGGGCTCCCTTTGAGACGCTTGCTATCTGTATTAGCCCGACCAATATCTTCAAAACATCACCATTTATCTTCCCCAGAAGTTCCAATTCGTTACCTCCCATACTATCTCTGTCAACTAACATCCTTAATCATAAGGATAAGTGTAGACCACACATAACACAAGAATTTTCTTCCAACTGCTCTAAGCCGCGATGCCTCCGGTTGTTCTTCCCACACAAAGTCGAAAGCTTCTTTTCCCTGTTTAGGTGACATCTATGCCGTCCTCTTTGCTTATGAGAACTTCGTAAATCTTCCACACCCATCCTACCTGTAAGCCTTCCAAAACCCCGCACGCCTTTTTCTCTTCGTCGCGATTGTGTGGAACATTTGATCATCTACTTACTCCCGTGATCAATCCCGCACGCAGAACTGTAGGATCCTTGCATCTAAAACCACACCACAGAGCCGTGACCCTTGCATCTGAAAACTTGTCGTGATCCTTGCATCTAAAACCTTGCCACGAACTTGGCTTCCTCGCGCAATCAACCCCGCATGCAGAACCACATGGTCGTTGCGTTCGAAACCTTGCCACAGAGCTGTTGCTTCCTTGCTACTCTGATTCCCGTGCAGTATCGTCGCTTCTCCACGCTCAAGCTGGTAAGCTGTAACCCACGTTAGCTTTTGCACAGTGCAGCAATTGCTAGGGTTTGGGCTCTGATACCATAAATAATTAATTGCTTGAAAACATACCCATTTCATTAATGGTTTGGGCTTATATAAAGCTTGACAACATTTAATAATAAATCCCTAGACTTCTTCTATTTACAAATAGGACCCTACATTAGATATAAATCTCTCCTCTAATTTTCTTCCTATTTCTCTATCTTTAAATTTATTTATTCATCTAATATGTGTATTCTCTACATTTCATTATACATGTTAAAATCATATGACTTATTTCAATTACCTTGTTTTCAATAGATATTATTCTAGACATTCCACAATATAATCATTCATAAATATATTCTTCATAATTTTGCTACACATAACCTTAATATTATCATTTCTGTCATACTATGCAATATTATCGATTTTATATTGTGCAACACTTTAGATCCATATAGAATCTATCTCATTGGACTAATTGTTATTTTATAAAAGTTACCATTAATTCTTCATAATACTCTTGAGGTTTCCCATGTGAACCACACAACCTTAACTCTAGAAATTACATGCTACCGTGTATCCTCATTCTTAACCGTTAATTTATCGTCTAATAATATTGATAGATAATGTTTAATATAACATATAATATACTCAACATTTACTTTAAAACTCTCTTCTGTCTAAACACATTCTCTGTAGTACTAGCATAAGTGAAATTCAAAACAATAAAACTTTTTCCCTCATGACTCATCTAGATCTTTGATGTAACCGCTAAAATCTCTCTTTCAGGTTCTAGAAGAAACACTTTCTCGCCAAGCCGAGATTTTTGCTTACATTGAAAAGAAGAAGAAGAAGAAGAAGAGGTTGGTAAGTTTGTAACATAGCAAACTAAAATGATAGTCTGAAAACTTAACCCCCAATATTAAACCATAGTAATGTTTTAGTAAGAAAACTGATTTCATTTATTCATCTATTTTTAAGTCATATATATTTCCTCTTTCTCACATGTAGAACTTTCTTTGCTGGTAAGTGGTGGTCAAAAGAGAAGGACAATGATGCTGCTAGCTACAAATGTTAAAAAGCTCCTTGGTATATATATCACCGCAACAAATGCAGTGCACTCTTCCCACAATTGGTTTTTGATACAAATTATTTAATTCATTTGTTTTCTTTAATTATTTAATTCTTTTGTTCTTTCATAGTCTAATGGTTTGCTCTAACTAAATGCCCACAACTTGGGGACTAAATAATGTTGTGGGATATGAAGTATACTATTCCAACCCACAACCTGCATATTGTCAGCTACAAAAAAATAAAAATTTCTTCTGAATACATTTTACTATATTCTGTGTTTCCAGCTTTTACCAGTATCATAATGGTGACTGTTGAGGTGAATTCCGACTTCTACTCTTTGAAACATGCTTGTAGAACGTAAATTGAAGGAAATTATGAAACCACCAAGAATTTTATAACAAAATATTCACCATCAACATTATAATATAACCTACAAATTTCTCCCAAAAAGTTCAACGTTATCATTTTGGTTTGGTAAAAACACTCATTAGAATGAGTTATTATTTTTTAGAGTGTAGTTGGGAGATGTTGGAGATCTCTATATTGTTTCATTAGACTTGATACATATTTTAATCTTAGAGTTAATTAATGAAGAACTTAATTTTTTCTGTAATTTCCTTTGAATCTACAAGACTAATAAATTCATTAGCACCAACTTCATGTTGACATATCCGAGTCCCTGACAACTCGCTCAGCTCAACTAGTACTACAACTCGGTTACTTTTGTTTTAGGTGTTGATAGCATCAGAAGAAACCTTGTTGTTGCCTGACCACCATCATGTATGCAGGAGTCAAATCTAAGTTGTGATACTTGTTTAGTGATACAATACAAGCCCATGCACACAAACTTATTTTGAGTAATTACTAAATTTCATTTGAATTGATTATATTAATATGAATATTTGATTAACGTGGTATTTGGCATACCATATTATTTTTCAAATATTTTGCTCTCTAGATGATTGTATACATGATTTTGCAAGCGTGATTATGTCATCAATTGAACTATGACGTGATATGATTGATTTATTGTCGAATCGAAATTTTTTGATTTATTTTACGCCTATTCTATGAATCATCTTGGTGTACAGTAATTCATGCACGCTCTTTTTCATAAATATTTTTTCTCAGTTCTTATGGGCATTATATTGGATTATGCATAATATCTTATTTGACTTGTTTTATTGTTAACATATCCATATAATTGGAATTTTACTTTCGCATGCAATTTTAAGCTTAGTATTTAAATGATTTGGCATAAATTGATTGTGTAATTTGATGTTTTTCTTTAGAAAGTTTGAGACTTTCTTATAAGGTTGCCACTACTTTACTATAAATATCATTTTTGTTTGTCCTTCATCATTTCATTCATAGAAACCAATCCTAAATGAGACATTGAGAGGGACAAAAAGAGTTTAGATAGAAAAAGCTTGATTGAGAGGATTTGATCTAGGAGGTTGCTCAGGATATTTTTTTGACATTAGATAAGCCTGTTATCCTAATTCATAATTTAGTGATTTTGTCTAATGTATATTCTCATATTTTATTCTGTTGATTTCATTGAAAGAAAGATGTGTTAATTCTTTGAGAAAGTTGAGCCTATAACTACTAGTGTAATTTGATAGTTTTACACAATTTATGTGATTTTCTTCATTTTTTATCGAATTCCTTAAACAAATGGGAGACAAGTATAAGATTCTAAAGAATTATGTCTTAGTATTCAATGATCCTTTTTAGGTTGCACAAAACACATATTGGGTTTCTAAGCTACATATTGTGCCATTCATGGGGCTTTTATTTTACACCTATTTCTATGTAGTATATAATATCGTATTGGCAATACAATGCTACTTTTAAAACTATTTGCTTAACATGACATCTATTTATGTATATTAAATCGAGCATATTACTTTATTCTATGAATTTTGTTAATGATTATTACACATTTGAAAAAAAAAAACTACTCTGTTATTGTGTCATTTGCTTTCTGTCTACTCTGTTATTGTGTCATTTGCGTTATTGTGTCATTTGCTTTCTGTGAGTTATTTGATATTGCCAATATAAGCTTATTATGTAAGTGTCATGGAATGCATATGTACAACTAGTTTTTATGTTGGTTCAGCCTATTAGTCTTAGTATAGAAGAGGGAGCTGATGGATTTTCCTTTTAAATATATGAGGAGATGGTCCCAAAATTTAATGATGGTGTCTTTTTATATTAGTCGATGGGCGTATTTTAATAGCCTAATCATTATGTTGGAAATAAATACATATGCAAATATAAGATAATTTGTGATGTATTTATTTAGCTAGCTAGCAACCATACATTACTTGCTTTAATCAAATGTGTTGATTTATTCATTTCCATTTATAAACATGGTATATCTATTTTTATTTTTTTTTTAATTTTTATGTCTTCTTGTTTGAATTCATTTAAATTAACATATAATCTAAGTTATGAGTTGTACACTATATTTCATATTATAATATATATTATGGTATTAATGTTAAGCCATGCATGTACAATTTAATTTGTGTATATGTGATAGAAAAATTTCATTTATATGATTTATTCTAAAATTTGAGACAAACCTACGGGCATGTATGTTGCCCTTCCTCTTGCAGTGAAGTCATCAATAGATTTTGTGTAGCCTAATGAGCTAATTACTTGCTCTATTGTAATGCATGTGTTTTTAATTTTAAGGTAAGGTACCCTAATACTAAAAGTTTAGTAGACAAGTTGATTGAGTAGATGACTATTAGATTATAAATATAAATTGGTGCAATCATTTGTTGAGTTTAGGAACACTAAAAAGAGAAGGGAGACTTATGTGTGCAAAGGAACTATGAACCTTTTTTGGCTTCAAACCCTCAAAATCAAACACAAACAAAATCTAATATTTTAACAATCAAATGAATAAATTAAAAACATATGCAAGTGTATAATTGTATGAGAGAGTTTATAATGTGTGATAAACTAATACTCAAGTGATCAAGGGTTAACCACAACTTAAATGATCTTACACCAAAGAATATTAGTGCATAATGGTAATGAATTAACTAAACTCCAAAGTGTAACATCTCACTAGTGACCATAGGATTAGTTTAAAATGTTCCTCAAGTAAGTTTATGAATACTAAACACGATACAACTAAATACCCAACTACATTATCTAGGATAGTCAAACAATTTAACAATAAAGACAAATATGAATGCACAAGAAAATGATTATTAAGATTTATGCAGTAAGTGAGAGGTATAACCATTGAAGCAATGGTAAATAAATATACTCCGCGCAACCACAAAGGAGGAAACATTGCCATAATCATGAAGGAAACATTTAAGCCAAAGCGACGAATTTTGGAAAATTTCAATAATATAAGCATTAGCTATAGGAAACATATAACAAAAATTTTGTGCCTCACAAACATCACTAAGGTAGCTTCAACTAGTTTCTACAAATTTCGACACAATTCACTTTTACAAAATAAAAACCTTAGCCAAAGTTTCCCTAAACTTTGGCTTTCTATTAAATGATACAACCGTTAAATATTGCAATACAATCTATAGAAAATTGTAAGATATATAAATAAAAATAGTATTATAAGCCTACAAATAATGAAAGAGATAGCTTTAGGCAACAAAATTTTTTGAAGGAATTATTTGTAGACAAGCCCTTAATTTTTCATCTAAAAAACACAATAAAAATTATCTTATAATGAAATATTTTAAGTTAATAAATTTGTTATTTTTAAGTTCTTGCTATATATTAGTATGATAGAATAGAAGATCCCTTCTAATAATGAACCAAATAACATATAAATATATTTTAAGAACTTCATCAAGAAAGTTAGCAAATGTTAATTCTATAGCTATTATAATTATATAACTATTGGTGAAATTCGGGTATGATGGGGCCTCGACATTATGATCTAGAGTGTTATTAACACTCTTATCTACCAAGATTTTTTTTTAGTAGTTGGAGATGAAAATATGTTAATTAACCTAAATTTATTATTATTATTATTATTATTATTATTATTATGTTATAATGACAATATATTCTATGTGATTTTATAAATAATGAATCTAATGAACACAATAGAATTTAAACTAATCTTTAAATTATTAAGCATAAGATAATCATAGAACCAAATAAAAAGAAATGCCTAATTAATTATAATTTTCATAATTAGACAAATTTGACAAAATGTGAAACATGTAAAATAATTAATATGCTAACATTAAAATCATTGAATTAAGATATATTAATAAGAATTATTAAGCTAAGGTCTTTGAAAGAGCCTTATTTGAGATAAGATGTGATATTAAGGATGGAAGCTAATTATAGATCTTCTACATAAGAAAATAAATAATGGAAGCAAAGTTATGAGAAATCTTTCAAATATCTACTCATAATTTTATGAGACGCCAAATCAAGTTTAAAGATTTAGAGCAATCCTTCAATGATTTTAGCTTTTAAAAGCACTTCATAGATGATCTAACACATTGCTAAGAAAGAAAATAAAACTATGCATACAAAGAAGTAGATCATAATAATAAAGTGTTATAGATCTCTATTTAGATTTAAAAATTAGTGAAGAGAGATCATAAAGATAGCATAATAAATTAATAGTAAACATTTATATTCATACCCTTTAGGTTTTCTAACTTAAATTCCCAGAGACTTCGATTAGAAGCACATATATGATCGCAAAAAGAACTTATTATTACATGATCTTGATAATTTCATTAACCCTTAAATATTACATTTTAATATTATAATGTATAAACAAATTTATCAACATTCATTATATTCTACCGTGGCTCTTAACTATTAAATCCATATGAATATTAACAAATGAAAGTTCATAATTGGCTAATTGAGCTCAAATCATATATATTATGTAAAATTGGATTAAGAGACACATCAAGGTTGAGCTATTGAGTTCAAGCATTATTATTTAACTTCTCATAGTATGCAAGATGACAATGCTTCAATTCCAGGTGCTTAAATTCATGTGGGCAAGCCAATTAGAGCTGCCTTATAAAAGTCATTAAGATTGTAAGTTAGTAATTTAATGAATTGATCAAGGAATTATTTACCTTCAAGCAACTTGATTGTGTTATCTAATAAGAGAAAATCCATCCTTTTGTAAGAAATTAAATTATTTTACACCAAAATCCGACAGTTACTTTATTAGAGGTGATGGCTTTTTAATAATTTTTAGTGAAAGTGAGAGGAAAAATTATTAAGTTGATGTTGTTGTTCGGTTGTTTCTGTGTTGTGCTAAATATATCT